TTGTATTCTTGGTCAGCAGCATTGATAATCTGATTACTATTGACCAATGCCACAACTTTATTAACCTTCTTGCCCTTCTCTGGTGGCTTTTTCGCCGCGGCTGAGTGCTCCTGCTTTATTGGTTGCGCTGGTTTGCGACACTGTTGCCTAAAACAGCAGGAGCTGTGGTGAGCTGGGTGCTTACAGTAAAAGCAGGGTCGACGCAAGCACGCGACGTCTTATCTGTGGAGGATACACACAAAAAGCACAGCTGATTGCCTCAGATACTCTGAACGTTTCTGAGAAGTGGGAAAAACCGTGCACTGGAATGAAGCATGTTCGCCATTACAGTGCATGCAAGTAGCTCCAGTCTTTTTCGCAGTGATCCTCAAATTGCATCGGGGTGGCTTCCGGTTAGTCGCTTCTTCCCCTATGTATACGTGCACATTTCCTCTGTTGAGAGGTAGTCCTCCAAGTGTTGGATGATCTCATGCATTTCGAAAAGAACTTGTGAGCTTACTTGCTTCCTAGCATCACTTCTGCGGGGAATTTAGACAGGACTTTCCTAATTAGCCAGGAGCTGTCAATATTCTCCCTTTCTCTATCAACTGCATGACGATGACTTGTACCTCTTCTGAGAGCGAGCGCTGGTCTCTTACCGAAGAGCTCCGAAGAGCGCACTTCAAGCTCTTCTGCCAATTGGTTTACAAGAAGATCCTTATCATTGTATTCATTGAGGAAAAATTGCACTGCTCAATTTCCCTTAGTTAATCGAACTTCTTTATTGCCTCTTTCGCCGGACCTTTCGGAGCACTGATTAGGTGATTATACTTAACCTTCTCTGGCAGATCGTGCGAATGTATGTTGGCATTGTGCAATTCCCAAAAGTTATCCCACTTCCATTTTTCCGCTGAGGTGGAATCGGGAGCGGCGGGAGCTCCAGCTGTTCACTGTTAAGCTGATTCATGCGCGGGTCAATGATCGTCTCCGTTATTGATTGCGAGGATGTTGTTTCCCTCATTGCTCTTCCTACTTGGAGCTTGGAACAGCATTGAGATCGGACGCTCTAAACATCGGTGACTCAGCTTTACCAGCGTATTGCTCGTACTCTTTAGACTCCTTTCCCTTTTTCGCTTTCTAAGTTATCCATTATTGGCGCATATTCAGCCAATTTTTCTTCGATTCTAGCGGTAGCAAAATCTGAATCAGCAATGCCCTCTTCTCTTCTGCTTATTGTTTCCCGTACTGCCTCTTTCGATGGACATTCATCCCAAGAAATATGCTCCAATTTCTCTTTGCTCAATCTATCTACCGTATGGCCGAGCGTATTGCTGAACCTACTTAGTGTTCTTTTTGGAGAACCTATTTGAGACATATTGCGAGTAAATATTAATATTGGTCGATTAGAAAGGATTATCGAGAGAAAGCAGAGGGAGGATGGTTATTGCTTATGAGGCTATTGCTACCGAATATTGCCAATAGTCGATTCTCAAAGTAAAGAAGAATCAAAGAAAGAAGAAATTTCTTTTTCTGGTCCTTTGTAGTCTCCGAAGCACCAATTTGTATGTTGATCTGCTCTGGAGAGAATCGATCTTGAGTGGTGCCCCAAATTGATATTCTCATTTTCATGAATTGTTGAAAAGGACTGCATTCATTAATCGGTTCCCTTCCGCTCCAAATAAGCAAACGTTGCAAAACTTGTCGCAGCATCTTGCGTATGAAAGCTTGATAGCAGCCATATTGATTAACTTTCTTAGGCTAACGATTCGGCTTTTTCTCCTTCGACTGAGACTAGGAAGGACGAAAACAAATGGGACTTGCCCTCTCAGACGCCTCCATATCTTAGTAAACCATCTATCGATATAGGTGCTGTTGGGTGGTTTACTAAGATATGGAAACGTCTTTAGTCTTGTGGAGACGTCTGAGAAGGCGAGTCACACTTGGTTTTGACTTTTCAGGCTCTGACGAAGGCGAAGAGGCCGAAACGTTAGCCTAATAAACGTTGACTAATCTTGGACGGCTACAATCAAGCACTCGTCTTATCAAGCAATGTCAGGTTAAGCCTGGGCTAATGGTAAGCCTAGCAGGGTTGGTGTAACGGTTTCTCCCAAACGGGGAGGGACACAACCGGCATTGAGATTTACAGCTTGGGCTAAGGGACTTAGCGCTACTCCGCCTCGGGCTCTTATCGCGTTACCCGGTGAGCACCGACCTTTCACCGGTAACCAGCCTCTAGGAGCAGCGACACGCGGGCGGTGACGACTAATTGACAGCTGGCCTCGACCGCGGGGGGGGGCGTGGCCAATGGAGTGCAGAGCGCATTGGCAGCTGAACGCAATTGGGCGGGGATGCGCGGGGCGCCCAGAGGGCTGCGACAGTCAATGTCAGTGACATGACAACGATAGGCCGATGCCATGGTTTGCAAATCCAGCGATTCGCAGTTTGCGAATCCAGCTATTCGCAATTCGCGAATCCAGCGATTCGCAAGCGAATAGCTCGATTCGCAAAATTTTCGCAAATTTTCCAGGAATGACACTTTTAAGAGTACAACCTTCGCACTATAGCAGAAAACCCAGGATATGATTGTGTGAAAAAAGTCATCGGCGTGAAATTTCAATAAGGAAGTAAAGTTGGTTCCTTCCACTTGTAATGAAGACTCCAAGCACCAACCTTCTTGCGCACTGCAGCGATTCAACTCGCCAGGATGGGTCAGTTTGGTGGACTGATTGATGACGTTTTCCCTCCCTGATCATAGCGTGCAGGCGGCTAATCACTGTGCCTTAAGTTACAACCTCTCCTGCAACAGATACACTTGAGTGTCTGCATACATCCCTTTGCATCTTTTTGACAATCTTGCATATAAGGGGGCTTTTATTTCACAACGTACATCACTTTCGAGCTTCATTGCTTCAAGCCGATCTGGCTGAACTAGCGCTGTGCGTTTTTTTTGCGGCTGGATGCATTCTTTGTTGAAACAGTCGCCATATTGCATGCCAACTCCTGCGCTTCTTTTCTGGAAGACAGGAAGACAGGAAGTGCCAACAGTCGGAAATTGCGATTTCCGTAGCTGGTGAAGGAGTGTGGAACGATGGACGTTCTCCGAATTGCTTCAGGTCTTTGTATGGAAATGATAGCCGACCTTCGTTGACAAGATATCGCCGAATTGAATAGTTATGCGAAGATTAGCAAACTATTGTAGGGAAGTTTCATGTCTAATGCGATTGAAAGATTTTGCTGTAAACATCATATTAAGATCAATTTTCAGTTGAGGGTGTCTCACAGATGTATAATGATGTATTCTCCGTGTCTGGAAACACATATGGGCAATGAGCCGGCATAAAAGAAACAATTAGGTCTGTAGTGTGCTACCATGAGGAACCCTCGGTGTGCCATGTTCAACTGCCCGGTCGTTATCCAGTACATTTTTCTCTCATATAGCTACTAACTCGTTTTCATGCATTGAACATGTTTTGTTATGTGCAACAGATTGCGAGAGAGACCTATCTATCCACAACCGGGTCCGATAACGTTATCCAGCAGCACTCGGCATTGTGAGCTAATTAGTCGCTCTAACAATCTATAGCTTTGCAAGGTAGAGGGGCACAGCACGAGTCTTAGACGTCGTCATACTCTTGCACTTCACCTTTCATGCAATTTAGAACGAAGGTTTTTTGGAACGAGTAATTAAGCAGTTTATTCCAGAGAAATCTACCGCATTCAAGTTTTGAAGAGTTCATCTAGACGTAGCGGTACTCCAACTTGGTAAAAGTAGCGAAGAGTCGGTTGTAGGTTATTACAGGAACAAGGTTCGAAAGCGATTTGAGTACAGTGTTAGCGTCCTCTTTTGAGCAGAACCTAAACGAACAATTATATTAGGTTTTATTCTAGTAATTAGTTTAGTTCAGATAAATACAAATTCTGATTTCTTGATCGGGTGTGCATACCTGTAACCGGTTCGACGTTTGTCTGGATGGGTTTTAATTTCCACACCTGCATATGTGCACCCATCAATAGCAATTCCATCAGAGAAGTCCACGAATTTCACTTCTATCTTTTTGCCGGCCGGCGCCTTGATTTTTGATTGTGAGAGTGATAACTTGTGAGTTTTTTTGACACCTGCAAACCTTAATCCAGTAGTTGCATTTCATAAAATCTTCTCGCGGTGTGACGCCAGACTCCTTGTCTCCTAGAACGTCCACAAACGGTTTCCAATCCCTCGTCGCTTCTAGTTCTGCACCGCAACCGGGTGGCTAGAAAAAATCTTTCGGGAATTTTGTAATTTCGACCAGTAAGAAGGGCAGTTACCCTTTTCTCACAGAACTGTCCACCGTATCCACTAGGGCAAATGCATTTGGAGCAATCACGAGGATGAGCGAATCCATTATTTTGGCATGGTGTGTTCTTACCTTTGCATGCGTCTGGAGCAGTATAACATTTAGCACGTAAGCGTGAGGCAGCAAAATTCATTCGAGATTCTACTTACCTGTGCAATTGTAGTGCGTGTTAATCATAAGCAGGTCGTAGTAAGATATGAATGGGGATCCTAGAGTCTCCGTGTACATCACATCCTTCGGCACCATGGTAGGTTTTTTGTTTACAGTAGCGCTGAAAATTTGAATTCATCTCCTATACCTCACAGTTGTCGCTTCATGAGAATTCGACCTTGTGGCTCCGTAGTGCATCACGCTACCGTAGTCATATGTTAAACCATAATTGTTGTTGGTCGAGATTGTTTGCCGTGTGAATTGGTCGAGATGTTCAGGCTAAAGTTTTCAGCAATGTTGTGATCAAAGCTATTGTACCATTTGCGCATCTTACCTTTATATTTTGTTCGTCAACTGTAATAAATTGGTCACGATCGTATCTTTCGTGCGTGTGGAAGAATCCCAGGGCGTGGCCAATCTCGTGAGCAGCAGTTCCAACCTGTACAACAAGACATCAACTAGATAGATCGTTTTTTTTATGTAACACATTACTGAAAATACATGTTTCACGGGGGATCTCCATTGAAACCGTACCTTTTCACAGCCTTCACCCAGGGAGAGGTCTTGCGCACCACCAAGTCTACCAACGTAGGACCAACATCCACTGTCCGCAACCACTCGGATACTGTCTTCTGCTGAAACTCGGACGTACAGCGGAGTGCTGCTACTGCTTCCAACTATCATAGCATTACCGAATTTGGTAGGTATGAAGTTTATACATGTATCAGACATCCATTGGTGTGCAGCTTTCTTGAACACACTTTGAACCTGCGCACCTGAACGTAGCCAAGAAAATGAGTGTAAGAAGAACTCAGAGAAGGTGATGTTTAGAAGAACCCAGTCCCTAGTTCTTCGTGATATACATGAACAGGAAAACGTGAGTTCAGCCACTGACTCGCGCTAGCGTCGAAGAAGTAGTTGACTCCCTTGGACCACCTCGCACCAGGATATTCGCTTTCATACGTAGCTTGCCGCTTAGAACGGTTGCCGAGAATGGCCGCGAGAACTTGTTTTTGTTGCTTCCTTAACATGACACAAATTTTCCACTGCTCATATGAGGAAATCATGCAAACGGACTCCGTAAGGACCATATCTCCCTGGAATAGTGAGTCTGAAATATTGCTTATTTCGTTGATCTCCTCAATTGTGTCTCCTGTCGGTAGAACTTTGTCAATAGTTTTTCTTTTCAACATCTGAAACAGTTCAAAAAATCAGTTATGAATACATGAATTTCTGTGAGCTGCCAACCTTCAGTCTTTCTACAAGCTCATTTCTTTGCTCCTTCGACAGGTGAAGCGACTGCAGTATCTTTTCTCTGTATCCGCTCAATTTTTTGCGGAAATCATTCATTTTGCTATCGATGACCTGTAAAGATAACAGGCTTTAAATAGTTGCAACTTCTACGGATTATGAAACGAATACTTAGATTTATTCTACCTCCTTGATGCGACTTATAGTCTTTTTTATTTTTTTGTTCACTTCGTGCTTGATGAGCCCTTTGAGACTGCCAACCACAAGCGATTTTTTGAGGTCGAACAAGTCAGCGCTCACGCATGCGGCCACAAGTAGAGTGAGTATAATAATCCTCATCCTGGAATGTAGAGTTTGAAAACAAAACAAGTATACTTCAAATTGGAGAACTGCTGAATGATGCGACCACATACTTCTACTCATATTTATACATTATCTCTAGGTCTGGAATTGACATAGCGGGGGTGTTTGACGTCGAATCATATCGGGCAATGCAAAAAATACCAGTTTAGCTCCGCACGCAACCGCGCGCATCACATGGAGGGCTTCAGTGAAACTGGACAACTTGCTGAATATTAGGTCACGTGGCTGAGAAACTAAGTAAGATGTTTGGAAGATGTGTCACATGAATTTCAAAGGTTGTCCAATTTTCGCTGAAGATTGTCGCGTAATGCGCGCAGTAGCATGCGGAATGAAAATGGTACTTATCATGACTTCGTAAACATTTAGCATTGATATCGAGCTCGGATGATTTAGCGGTTTATAGAATTTCCACAATTGAAGAATCGGTGTGTAAGTGAAATATAACCAATCAATCAGCATCTAATCGAGCATGATGGAAATTGCAAATATGATGGAAATTCGCTATTAGTCCAAGTCCAGATAGTTGAGCAGCTCAACTTTCTTGCTTCTTAGCTTCTTTGGATGAAAAGATAGGAATGGAACAT